TGAAAAGAGAGTTACAGGAACATATTCCAAAATAACTGCAAGTTTAATAATATTATAAGCCCATGTTCTTCAAATCCATTGCTTTTATTTCATTTCCCCTATCATTTCCTTCTCCACAGTTGTTAGAATTGTCTTTGTTTTTTCCCCAGCAGAGGGTGCAAAAAATTAAACCTTGGAAGCACCACAGAAATGGGTAAACTTGAAAACCCTGAGATACAGAGGCAAAAATAATTAAGTGCTCATGGCATTGGACTTGATCATGAAGAAGAGAAATGACAAGCACTGGTGCTCTGAGGAGATGGTCATGATTATCAGAAATCATGAGAAGATAACTTTCCAAGAAAAGGTGTAAAACCAGAAATCTATTCACAAAATAAGTAGTAACTAATAACAATTCATTAAAATCATTAATAACAAATAATAAAATAGAAATTATCAAATACATTAGATAAATATAATTATAATACAATAAATAATGAATAATTAAATAAGTGTAAATAAATATCTTACATTCAGTGGGCAAATCACAGCAACACTTTGGTATACACAAATAAATATCTTATGTTTTCAATGCAGAAAAGAGACAATACAACTGGCCTCAATCAGGAAATTTCAAGTATGATTCAGTATAAACCATCTTTATCTCTTTTGGATACAAACTATATGTATCCTAGATAAATAATGACTAAATTTAAGTATCCTGATATTGTGGGTCGAAATGTTAGCTACAAATCACTCCTGCCTGTATCCATGCTTTTGCCTGAAGATTTTTCTGTCTTCTTCATAGAACCAATAATATTCTTACCAACATCCTTGAGTTTAGTCTCTGGAACTTTGCTTTCCTGTTTGTCTTTTGTCTTCTTCTCCCTTACCCACAACTAGATGTTATCATCATGACAGATGCACAAGCTTCAGATGTGTTTATGTAGGAAGATTTGCTCCTTGGGACCTCTGCCATCACTGTCAGAAAAAAACTATCCTGAGTAATTCCTGTATCATCAGCCAGATTCTGAGTCAACACAAGTAGTAGAGACTGAGCCAAATTCAATAAGGAGCCAAGCCTGGTCAGAACCACACTTGATGTCGCTCTCTAAATAAACACAGCTAGCTCAACTCAATCACAGATTTGTGAGTATGAATAAATGATTTTTAAGCCACAATGTCTTGGGACAAATTTTATAAACTAATATCACGGTTATAGCTTAAAAACTACAGCAGAACACAGCCATCCCTCTGTGCTATTCATTCATTCATCAGATTGATGTGTAACTGAATATGATTACTTTATATTCAATATACTATGTCTTCCATTGATTTAATACAAAACAATATAGCCCCAAATCTGTGATCAAGAAAGTGAATATAAAATGAAAACCATAATAGCTCTTGCCTTTGGAATGGATTTTGACATAAGAGACATAAACTAGTAAATGACAATGTTGTGGACAGTTCCACAACAGTTATTGAATGTTGGTGAAAACTATTTCTCAGAAGCTGAATTCTGTGTAAGTTCATGGGAATCAAAGTGAAGTGTGAATTTCTTCACTCACCACAGTTTAAGATATCAAGATACAAAGAGAATTCTGAGTTATTTTTAAATTTAAATTAAATTATAATTTTGACATAGACATTTCCAATACAGATTTAGCAGAGTTCATGTCAGTTCAGTAAGAAAGAATAGTGCAGCTCCTTAGGGTTCAGATGTCTGGGAAGTGGATTTCACTAAATCTGAAGATCAATAAAACACAGATCTGCCCTGTGAGTGACTCTGACAGCATTGGATGTGTTAAACAAGTATAAAATAAATATTCTACAAATATGATTGTAAAAATCATATATGAACTCAAGAGGACTGCCAACAATGACAATTAAAGCATACACAGCAACTCAAATTCAAGACCTATTTGAGTCATTGGTGGAAGAAAGGAGGCACTCTGACAACTGTTTAAAAGAAACAGAGGTGGAGCTAGAGAGGTGACTTAGTAGATAATAGTACTTGCTGTCCTTTCTGAGGACTGGAGTTCTGTTCCCAGCACCATCATACAGTCCCTTACAACCATCCAACCCCCAGCTTTGTGTGATCTCAAGCCCTCACTGGCCTTTGCAACCTATTACATATGTGTGTGAATACAATTACACAGACACATATACACAGAAACATAAGCACATACAAAACTATTCTTAGAAAAAGAGAGTAGGAAAAGAATGATGCTAAAGGTCTTAGAAGAGGAAGAACAAGTTACTACCTTTTTATTTTGTATTCAATGATGGTAAAAAATAAAGTTCAAGTTCATGTTGAAGAGTGTGATGAATTTTAAGCATTATTCTTTACCAAACTCCTGGGAATGCCCTGAGAAAAGTAATGTCTCTTTGTAAAAGTTTATAATTGAAGCAATTTATTAAAATGCTAACTTGAGATATTTCATGAATATTAGACAGTGTAGAGTGTATTTTTCTTTGCCAGTCACCTGGGCTCTGTCATGATGTCTAAAGCCCCTAATAACACACAGGACACTATATTAATTATAAATCTGTTGGCCATTTTCTTGGTTTCTTATTGGTAGCTCTGACTTAAGTATTTAACCCATAATTGTTATCGAAGTATTTCCCTTACTGGAGAAAAGGGTCCAGACATCTTACTCCTGTGGCGGGCTATACTGTGTCTGACTCTGCCTCTCTTTCCCAGAATCCTCCTTGACTCCTAGTCCCACCTATCTTGCTTCCCTATTGGCCAACAGTGCTTTATTCAACAACCAATAAGAGACAGATTTACAGAATGACATCTCCCATCATCTCTTTTCTGTCTAAATAAAAATAAGCGTTTTAACTTTAACATAGTCAAATTATATATAACAGAACAGTTATCGAGTAAAATGACATCTCCCATCAAGACAGTAAACAAATGATCCTCTAATTCAAACATCCATCTTAGGTGTCCTTCGGGATGATTGTTTGGAATATGACAGGAAACAATAAAAAAGGAGATAGTGTGAGACAGGACCTCATTTGCATTGAAAATGAAACATGAAATGATTTCTAGAAGACTGCAACCTGAGATCAGTCTCAACACTCATGGTACTGTATGAAGTGCTGACAAGGGCTATTCGTGGGGGATAATAACATTAACAACACTAAAAGTAACCCCAGCCTGCATTCGAATCCATTTTGAATATTCTACTATTGTTTATCTGGGATGCTGATTGTCAGTTGCATAGGGCAGGCATCAATGGCAATCTTCATCCCCAACTCTAAGAACATGGTAGAGAGCTGAGGTCTCCTGTCAGGTCGATTCAAGGGAGGTAGAGGAGAATCCACAGAAGCAATACAGAAAGACAAGATATTCCCTGCATATTGTTCTAAATGAACCCATGAAAACATATTCCCAAGGTGCTTTTATGTCGTCTTTATTTATGCTTACATTTGATAGCAACAGGGTCCTACCATCTACTTATAACAATGGCTCTCAACCTTTCTAATACTTCAACATTAAACACAGTTTCTTAACTTATGGTAACCCCCAATCAAAAAGTTATTTGCATTGCTACTTCATAACTATAATTTTGCTACTGTTTTGAATCTTCATGTAAATATCTGAATTTTTTCTGATATAAAATATTTTCTGATGTAAAGATATTTTCTTAATGTAAACATCTCTATGTATTATATGTGTTCTATGCTATCTTCATATTACATTTTAATATGATCTTCGAGAGTATAAATTATCTTGTAATTCCTTAATGCACACTTTGTTTTGCTAAATCTTTCCCCCACACTTTCATTTAGTCATTACAATAACTCCAATATCTGCTTGAACCTTTCTGCCTCCAGTAGGGCCCTTTTCTACTTCCTGCTCACCAATATTATACTATCCTCTTTATCTAAATTATGTTTATAACAGTGTTGGGAATCGTTACCACTCTTATCATCAGTACAATCGTAAGGAAAAACTCCTGAAGTATTTAGTGACCAAGATCCTGATGCTAGAAACTGGCTTCTAATGACTGTGGTGGACTATGATCCAATGTCACGAGACATATAATATAGGATGCTAGAGACTCTCCCAGAATCAGGGGTCTCTGTGATTCTGTACTTCCTAGTATGTGTCCTGGTGATGCTAATCCTATCTGTCCTCAAACCAGCATCCGAAGAGTAACGATCTAAAAGAAATGAAAACCTGCCACATCTCTTTGTTCAGTTCTCTGTGGGGAGTCTCATGGGACACAGAAACAGAATTGAGGCCAAGGATCTTTTGGAGTCAAGTATGTTTTATTTTTTCCTATTTCCTTTTGAGGGGAATCTATGGACTAACAGACCTACATGTTTTTAAAAATGGTCTTTCCATAAGCCAGTGAGGGAGGTAAACATAGATCATGCTGAGGTTCCTAAACAGGAGACTCCAGGGGTTGGAAGCACTAGATTAGCATGTGTACTTTGGGATATTCAATATGTCATTGAACCTATATCAGAGGGGCCAGTACCAATGAAACTGTGGGGCAAATTCAAGCCTCCCCATAACAGAGGCCAAGTCCCTGTTAAGTCAACCACTTTGGGTAATGAGACTTCATTTTGAGATGGAGGGTTTGACTAAGAACTGAAAGATTTACTCAAAATCCCAAATGATTAGCTGCCATCTTAGAAGGGGATTGTCTCACTTAGGGTTACTATTGTGTGATGAAACACCATAACTGAAAGCAACCAGGGGAGGAAAGTGTTCATTGTCAGTTCCATAGAACAGTTCATCATCAAAAGCAGTGGGGGCATGAACTCAAATAGAGCAGCAACCTGGAGGCAGGAGCTGATGCAGAGGCCTTGGAGAGGCGTTGTCCCTGTCTTCTTCCCATGGCTTACTCAGCCTGCTTTCTTATAAGATCCTGGACCACCAGTCTAGGGTTAGCAGCAACCACAATGGTCTGCCTGTCTCTCCTACCCTATTGTTCACTAATTAAGAAAATGCCTTACAGATGGAGCTTATAGAGGCATTTTCTCTGTTGATGCTCCCTCCATGCTGATGACTCTGGGTTGTGACAAATTGACTAAAAGTGGACAGTACAGGAACCAAGCATCCTCACATTGGACCCCAAAGCTACGGCTTCCACACAGGCCCAGGATATTCCCCTCCACACCCGGTGCCATGTCAAGTCAGGAATGATTTGTAAACCGAGCTGTTTGATTTTTGTTTGTTTAGTCTCCCCCACCCTCAATCCACTGGCATATAGAATAAGAAAATAATGCACTCTGTGGTTTCTGGCGGCAGCAGGTTTGGAACTTGACCCCTTTTCATGTGGATATCAGGTGCAGTTGGCTCCGTGACATACATGAGGAAGGGAACACTGACACAAGACTGTTGTTAGTCACAGCTTTCTCTCTCAGAACCAAAGAATGGTTCATGTGTAGAAAACAATAGGGTAGACTGTTGAGTCTTTGGACATCTTTGGTTCAAACCTCTGTTGGATTTGTTGAGAGACCTTCAGATCGATCGAAGCTTAGAGAAAGTAAGCATGGAAGAGCAAGGCATCCTCAATGGGAAGGAGGGAGCTCACACTGAATTCAGTACAAAGAAAGAAGAGAGGCTTCAGGTATTGATAAGAGGATCTGAGGCTCTGGATCTATGGATCTAGAGTGTTTGAAACTAATGTCAACTCTGTGTTTCACATGTCTGTGACAAATAGGTTCCACTTTGTGCTTGGGTATCTATTATTTGATATCAAAGGCTCAGTAACCTTGAGTACTAATGAGAGGAACCAGAGTGCAGAGTTTCGTTTGTATTTAATTTGGAGTGTAGCTGCAAGTTTTCTGAACTGAAGATGTGGAGTGGAGTATGGAAGAGGTGACAGTCTGTGAAATGAATTTGCTATAAGTCAATTGCAGTTTACTGAAAAAATAAAAGAGGAAAACAGAGTAACATATGAGGGGATAATAGGAAAGTTAAATAGGTAAATAAAAGAATTTTCTCTGGACACAAACAGGGTATTGATTAAAATACATAGATGTCTTTGGAGTCATTTTCATACACAGATTGCTGAAGAATGGGCAGGAGGGAATGACCCCACACAACACATTGTAATATGTATCCCTGAAATAATTCTTAATTGCATCTGATCCCATTTAACACTGACTCAGAAGGACAGCAGTGATTTCCACATATCTAATCCACCAAACATTGCAACAGATGCAGGAGGTTGGAGGCTTTCACAGTTCGCTTTAGCAAGCTGTAAAGGGAGAAATAAGGAAAGAGAGACACATTTTTCCTCTCTCCTGATTTTAATGTCCAGAATACTTCTTGACTCATTGAAGCCCATATGTCTCTACACACTTATGGTTCAAGCTCAAAAATTTTGCTCTCACATCTAAGGTAGTCTAAGCAGGAGATTTTCCAGTCCTGGCATGAAACACTCTCTCCCAAGCCACCAACCAGTTACAAAAATCATCAACTAATTCTCCCTGGGTCTCATCAGTAAACAGATGTGCACTAAGGACATGTCTGTATTTTCCAGCTAACTGTGTCTTTGGAACATAAAGTTTTCCAGAAGAAAGAGAAACACCCCATAATCTAAGAAAAATGGGTCTTTCAAAGGTATTTATATTTAAATCAGCACTTAATTTGGGGCAACGGATGGATGACACATGAAATATAATAGAAACATCTCTACAAGGAAAACAAACTCTGTTTCTACCCCTTAGCCTTTACATTATAAACACATTAATTTGCTTTCAGAAGTGGGCTTGTTTTTGTTTCTGGGTCTCAGTCACCAATGAGAGTCCCTATGACTATTCATTACTTGTTACAGCTAAACCTCTAGTGAGGTGTGAATATTTATGAAGCCTTCCTTTTTTGATATTGGCTCTGATCCTGGTAGCCTTATTAAGAATAAGGTTTATAGGAGATTTGCACACTTGATAAGAAGGGCAGCATACTAAATTTAGGGTAGAGTTGGAGTGTTTTCAACAAAAGAAGCACCTGGGAGTATTAAAAACTGAAAAAGCCTGTATAACCCCTAGGCTGCGTTTGAGATTCTGCCATTCCTTGCTCAAAGTTAATGATCTAAATTTTAATGCAAGAACCCAGTTTTTAAAATAAAGTATCAAGAGAAAAGTATACCAATATTAACAAAGAGGCAGATTTATGGTCCTAAAGGGTCACCAAATATCAAAGTACATCTAAGAAATTGATCACTTATGAAACTTATAAAAGTTATTCTTCAAGAAATATGTACCAAAATAAATGATGATACTAATAAAAATAAGTAATAAAAATAAGCGATGATACTAAAAAAATAAGTAATCTGAATAAATGTCGAATATTTGTATAATTATACTGTTACCAATTATTAACAATTGCCTGTCACCTGTTAAATAAACAATGCATGTGGTTGAATTGTTCGACATTATCTACTACATAATCCGTGAATAGCTACCAACCAAAAATTTACAGCATATGAAAAAGAACACAGGAAAATGGAAATGTAACTAACTATATGCATACATGTGCCTACTTCATATAAATAAAAGGTTGATCTTTATTGAATACAAATTAGATAGAAAAACTAAAAAGTAAACGAAAACGTTTTTAAAACAAAACCAAAGTACCTATTAGCATGGATGTCTTTAACCGTCACCCAAACTTAAAACATAACTCCTGAATACTAGTGGAAAAACAGAATTAAATTTGAAACTGCAATTGTATAGTGGCATTCCCCAAATGCAGTGCTTTCTCAGTTCCACAAAAGCAGTGAGTTCAGAAAAGCCTTATGTGTGTTTTAAAGTTCTGCTGCTGCTGCTGCCATGAGATTCTTTCTATGGGTGTCTTTGAACTTGTGTCTTAGTGAAATTCAACTGGTCCATGAGTTGAGCTTGAGCGGCAACACATGCACTTCATTGTATCTTGTACTACTTGTAAGTAATTTTCTCAAAGGCCCCTGGCCAGAGATTGTGGGTGGAATATGTGCATGAAAGATTATATAACAATATCTGCCTTATTTCAGTCTACTATTCCTATTGTTTATTATCAGAACAAAACTTACACACACAAAGAAAGCTTAAAATGAGTTGTTCAATTTACACTGGCTCTCCATGTCATAAAGATAAATGAGAAAATTCATGTTAATAGTATTTAATTTTAATTTTTTTAGAAAAGCCAAAGTTCAATTAAAACTACCAAAATCCAAGAGACAATTGAAGAAAGGAAAAAGGCTTTCACATACTTTTCTTCTGCTGAAGAACTATGTTTTGATTGTAAGTTTCATGTATTTATAAAATGAATGTTAGTTGTGTTCATGTAAGTCATTTCTATTCTTCATTTCCTTCTCTCTTTCATGACAAGTTTTTTTAAACAAGTTTCTGTCCCATTTTTTTATGTTTTCTCTCTGTGTGTATGGCACACTGAATTTAATAAGAGTTACTTGCCCAAGTGTGGATGGGATGTTATTTAATGAACAAGAGCAACTTATCTGTGGCTACACCACTGTATAAATGGCACAACATGTTCCTAGCTACTGTGAAATTTTACTAGTCTCACTGGGAGGGATGAGGAGTAATGGGCTCCTCTCCTATTCATGTTGCCTTGTTGATGTGTACAATCTTGTCTAGGCCTTCTGCAAATAAATGTAGCTGCAGTTAGTTCATGAGTGCAGCACCATGTCATGACCATAGAGATGTACTACAAAAACAGATGTCTTGTTTTTAGATTCAGTATTCCTCATTCTCATTTTGCACTGGACACCTTGATTTCTAAAGTTGTATATGTGTTGGATTTCAAATGGGAGGTGGACTTCCATTTCAGTTATTTAAGGAATGTTACCCCAAACCTTATTTTTCTTACATTGTGTATATTTTGTCCTGCTTTCAGGATCTTAATAATTTTAAATCTAGGAAATAGCTCCTAAAGAAATTTGCCTTGAGGTCATAATAGGAAGATACCAATAATTAATAATGGTTATTTTGGGGAGGTAGTCTTTTAGAAAAGGGGTGTGTTTATATGTATATGGATCTGCATTTAGGTTTTCCTCACATCAACCATATACTTCATTAATTGGGGTCATTCTCACTGTTCTTCCTGTAGGCATCGATTTTGTTGGCTGGAAGCAGGACCACTTTATCAGCACTTTCTTACTAGGTTGTTTGTTCATCATTTTAAACAACAATTTCAAGAAAAGAGAGCAGCTTCTGTGCTGGGGAGATAGCTCAGTAACTAAGAACACTTGTTTCTTAAGTGTGAGGAGTTGAGTTAGAATTCTCAGCACTCATGTAAAAAACCTTGGTATGAACACACATGCCTAAAACCCTGGTGGTGGTGGTGGTGGTGGTGGTGATGGTGGTGGGGTATGTGTGTGTGTGTGTGTGTGTGTGTGTGTGTGTGTGTGTGTGTGTGTGTGTGTGTGTGTGAGTGTGTATGTGTGTGTGTGAGTGTGCATGTGCATGTGTGTGTACAGACAGGAGGATAGATGAGATTTGCTGTCTTCCTGTGTAGTGTTAAGTGAGAGATCCTGTCTCAAAAAAATAAATTGAGAAGTAATAAGGTGTGAGAGCACACCTACAAACATGTGTGAGTATATACATATGACAGAGGAGGCAATTTTTGAATTTTTAGTTCTCTAGTTTAAAAAAATGATTTGATTGTATCTGTTTTATCATAAAATACTAGCATTGTAGTAAAGTGATCCACGCATGCTTTATTCTGTAGACCAAGCTGGGAAGGGTGTGAGTAAACAAAGGCCTGGAGCAGTACATGGTACAATCTAACAGCTGAAATGATAACGATCTAGATAAATGTTGCATCAAAGTAGGTGTTTTGAATTTTTCTATCTTAATGAGACTGTCAAGGCCTGAAAAAAGGATAAGAGGAGGATAAATATTTATTTTGGCATAGTTAGTGAAAGTGGCTATTAATTTAAAGTCATTCACCAATCACCAGTTAAACTCAATGGGTAAATGAGTCTGAAGGTAGGGAAGGCGGTTTTACTTACTAGAATTAAGCCTTCTCCTTGGATTAACTAGGAAGTGCTGTGTTTATTTCCTGTAGCTGCCACAAGCACTTATCTTAAACCAAACTGCTTAAAACAATAGCTATTTATCCCCACAGTTAAGAAGCCCAAGTGTCCACAATCAAGATCTTAGCTCATCTTACCATCCCATTTTGGTAAATTCTAGAAATCCTTTCAGGATCTTCACTCGCAGGTGTCCAGTGGCAACCTCTGCCTCTGTTCACTCTCTATGGCCACATGTATTTTGTGGTCTGTCTGACTCAGTGTTGCACAGTGTTCTCTCTTTATATCTCTGATCAAATGTCATCTTATTTTATGAGGATGCCAGTAATTAGACTTATATGATTATAACTTAACTTGATGAGGCTATATGTGGAAGGACCTTGTTTACAAGTAAAGTCACATTCAAAGGCATGTGGGGCTAAGATTTTTAACATATCCTTTGTGAAAGAAACAATTCAGGCACACCATAAATGCTTTTCTTATGCAAATCTGCATGTATCTCATGGACTAGGTGAAGTAAAAATAAAAGTTCTTCATGCCTGAGAGTGACCCTAAGATGCTGAAGACAGCAGGGTTAGTTGAAGCCAGGGAATCTATAGAAGTGCTTCCTTGTTTCCCAAGGGATTTGAATATGTAATAAAATCTCAGTGCCACTAAAGATTCTAGTTAGCTGTTTACCAAAAAGGTATTTTAACATGTAAAAGGTCTGCTCCAATGAGAAATTTTTCTTCTTTAATCATTTTGAACAAAATGAAAAGAAAAATGTCAAAAAGCCAGTGACCTAAGGGTATTGCATATATCCAAAAGGAATTTTTGAAATCCAGCCAAGCCTTGTGTTTTCATTGAATGAAGCTCTGAGTAACCATTGATATCATAGCTCTAGTCAGCTTCAGGAGGAAGCAGATGCTCCTTTTACTTTGGTCAGTTGAAGTTAGGTGTATAGAGTATCCATTCTCAGAAGTTATTTGCAAACAGTAGACATAGATCGTGTTTGTTTCTAAAAGGTGTCCAAACTTAGAAATGTCATTAGTTGTTGTTAGCATGAGCATGGCTATGTCAAGAACTCCAATGCCCACCACCCATGAAAGCGACAAAACATTACGTTGGTGAGGGTCAGAGGAACGGCAAAGCCTTCATCTGGTCCTAGTGCCAATAAGACTTTAACCTGAGATTTCTTCCATACAGACAGAGCTCTCTTACCTAGGTAAGCCAAGTCTGTCTTCTTGTTTAGCTCTATATCATAAAACCACTTCCTCAATTCAGATGTATAAAATAAAAGCAGTGTTTCCCTAATGCAGTTGATGCCCTCCATCAAAGAACAAACAATCTGATGCAAGCTTTTCTGTTCATGTATCTGTGTGTTCTTTTTTCATTCTCTTATAGCCCCAGTTAGGTCAAAATCTGAAGCCTTGCAGAAGCATCACACAGCTATGACAGAATTGTTTCCTTCCAATGCTTTATACCCTTGGCTACTCATATTGAGGCTACCTTAGGTTATTACAGTACAACCATTTCCATAGCAGTAAACTGGTCAAATTAAAAGACATCCTTTTAGCGCTACTAACATCGAAGACACTCTACTTCATAACCCTAGGGCTGTGTGGAGATAAACTAACTCAACATAAACTCATGATCTTATTCTTTGGTGTTCTTTACTTTTGTTTTCCTTTTGCTAAGCATTTTATCTTGAATTTGATTATGTCACTGCTGAGGAAATGTCTAGGTCTTGAACAGATATATTGAACTGCTCCCCATTAATGTAATGGTGTTAGGGAGGGATACTTAATGCAAAAAGATCATGGGACTTTCTATAATGCCCACCAAATAATGCCCATTAAAATATTAGTTACTCCCTTGATGTCATTGTGAATTGGTTGTACCTTTAAGATCTGAGATATACTGGAGGTTTTAAATCACTGTGGACATGATCTTGACAAGGATTGTGGGCCCTTGGCATCTCTTTAACTCTCTTCTGTGTCCTGCCAAAAAACTGAGCTACTTGCTTCAACAGGCTCTCAGACAAGCTTAATACTGAAAAGCAGTGAAAACACTCAGTTTTTCATGTACTAAAACCACACAGACTGTGAAAGAAAACATACCTTTCCCTGTATAAGTTGAATAAAACAGATGTTTGTTACTGTCCTGGGATGCTGACGTGAACAGTGGGGTATCATCATGAATTAGTGCTCTTTGAAGAAGGAATCACAGAGGATGCTTTGTTAATTTCTGTTCTCTGACCTGCAAGGATACAATTAGAAAACAATAATCTATAGAGCTAAAACAACAATCTATCAAAATGCGGTCATTCACAAGGCTCCATATGCCTCTTCCACAGTGCTGTTTCCACCATCGTGCTATACCCCAAGCCACATAATTTTCATTTCATATACTTTTTAAAGATACTTATAAAGCTAATATTAGCTATCCTTACCTAAAGATCCAGTGGCTCCATTTTCTTTCTTTCTCAAAATACCCCGAGAAGAGCTTTCTTTTCACTTTAATTTTAGAAAAAAAAACCTTTGTCTCAACAAATTAGGATATATTTAGTTCCATAAAAACTTAAAACTATACAAAGAAACAAAGCCTAGTCTAGAAAGTCACACATTTGGTATTATCAAAGAATTATCATAATAACAATGTGAGCATATTTAAATAAATCACATGGAAGGCATGTTTTCTCCCCAACATACTGAAATTTGAAAAAAAAAACAGAACCTTCATAGTTACTGACAGGAAGGTTGTCAGTCTTGGAGGGAACATTCTACATAAATATATAAAATGAGTACTTATTGAATTGCAACCACATAATTTTTTATATTTAATTCTTTGACAGTTTCATACATGCATACAATGTATTTTGATTATATATACCTGTGCCATAATCAATATTATTCTGTTCAATCTAAAACTACTTTTCTTCCCGAATTTATTTCTTCTTTTTGTCTTTTGTGGGTAGAAGTCCCCAAGGGTTTATAGGTTCCTGGCAGGAGAACAAATGAGAGTTATCTACTGGATTAAACCATACTACTGAAGAAAATAACCATCCTTCCTTACCAGTCATTAACTGTCAATAGGTCCGGAGGGTGGGTGAGGTCTGATGAGCCTTCTACCCATGATGAAATATTGAAAGGTCCATTTTCATACAAGGAGTTCTAATGTAGGCAAACACAGTTGGTGTGAACAAAGGCAGTTATGTCAAAATACACAGTTTTACAATGCTCTTCCCAACCTCTAGCTCTTGCATTCTTTCTTACCTCTCTTCTGTGATGGTCTTTAAGCCTTTGAGGTGGAAATATAAATAGAAGCACATATAGGACTTAACATTCAGTTGTCATTTACTCTCAGCTCTTTGATCAGGGCTGAGTTAATCACTGCCTTCTACAGAACGTAGTTTCTCTGAGTTGGGTATGAGATGCGTTAGAACAGAAAGCCTTTAAATGCGATACACTTCAGTGTATTATATTAAAGATTTTTAGAGTGAAGAGCTAATAACTTCATAAGGCCTTCTTAGTCTTCTATAAATGCATCTTTACCAATTTATAAGCAATAACTACATTATACACATTTTCTTTACTCTCTTAACCTTTTCAGTGTGTTGCCATTTCAGATTTCCTTGAAATACACCTTTAAAAAGTAAGTAAAGATGAGCCAGTGTGTTCTGGTCTAATACAGAAGACAGCAGGATTCAAAATTTGCTGGTTCATACCTCAGATCTTATAAGTTACAGAAGATTCCATTACCATTCTATCTCTTCATCTGTTTAGCAAGTTAAAATCTCTTAAGAATTCACTCTGAACTAGCCATTGTGAATATAACAGAAATCTTGTTAAATGGAATGATGTAGTTTTATTATGATTCAGGTAATCACAAACAGTGTATTTTACTTTTTATTAACTCAAATCCCTGAGGCTTAGTGTGTGACAGGTGCCTTGTGTGTTAACACTGAGTATTTGGATTGTAGCCTGTCTCCACAAAGTTCAGGCAGCTAGCAACACTGGAATTTTTATTCAGATACTTGGTAGAAATGCAGAGTCCCAGGCTAAACCCTAGACCTACTAGAGCAGAAGTCATATTTTAGGCAGATTGACAATTTCTGTGTACATTAAACTTGAAGTGATGTCCACACTAATGAGAGTTTCTAGCATCAAGGCAAGGACTATAGCTTGTGCCATCTTGGAAGAGTGAGTTTCTAGATAAATGAGTTCACTTTGTGTATCTTAGCATATTCATCTTCAGAAGGCTTATTAGAGGAGTTACTGCCTATATTGGCTGTAAGGATTGCCAACTGTCCTTGATAAGCAAGCAGTTTGTACAGCACCAGACATATTGGAAGGTTGCTCCATTACTGAACAAACAGTTACTGCAAACCCATTACGTGTATACCATAGATTGCTTGGCACTCTGCTTGGATCAGCGAATAGAGCAAAACCCCTGAATCTGTGAAGCTTACAATCTAACAAAAGACATTGGTAATAAAATGGTAGAGACATGAAAAATAACACAATAAAGTCCTGTTACATAGTGATCTACAGGATGGCACCAAGAGAAAAACAAAGATACAAAAATTCAATAGACATCTTCAGAGCAAACAAAATTAGTCAGTGTCTGAGTTTTCAATTATTACCTTAGTATCCAAAGTGAAATTCCAGGAATAGGGTTTGGTAGAATATGTTATCTCAACTTTTATATGTCTTTTTTAGAATCTTCCTTTTAACCAGAAATACAAAGGACTTGCTCCGGTAAAGATAATCAGTGGTCCTTTAGATATTCAAGACAAAACCTCATGGTGAGGTTTTGATTGCTGTTGTTTTAGCAACCTGATTTCCTTCAATTTGGACACTTAAAACTTGCTATGACTTACTGTCTGATTCAAACAGTCAAACAAATGAACAACCAACAAACACACCTCTCAGCCACTAACCCTGGAAGTGTAGGAAGTATGAATATCCCCCAGTTGACATCCAAAATCCAAAATGAAACTACAACACTGAGAAAGTAGCATGGCAAAGCTCCTAGGTCTTGTGTTTGCAACTCAGGAAAATCTCCACCTCACCTTTAAAAGAACAGATGTGTTTGTCAGTAGCTGGCTGTGTTCCAGGTTGTCCTCTTGCCTAACAATTCCTGTCTGTGGGTTTTGTAGATATTTTTTCTTCATTTCCTTTGTTACACAGTAAACAAGGAAACAAGTAAGTAATGTGTGCTATCAGTAGCATGAAATAGTTTCTATCTTTCCACACAGATGGCACATCTTAACAAAGGAAAGATGATCTCACAGCTAAAGAGCTTTGATATAAAAGGTACCGTAGGAAAAGGAAGTTATTATTCTTAGTTACAATGCCCTAAAAAGAGGATTTGCCATCTAAATGCTTGCTGAAACTTAACTGCAGAATTGCTTATAATGCTACAATCAGTTGAGGCCAAATTCAATAAAAACTCCATCCGGCATTCACACTGAGAAGATCCACATGTGCCTTTATTTTTTTTTTAATTTCCTGGGCTTCCGGCCCAGAAATTGAATGGAAATTTTATTTAAACCTGCTCTTGTGTATCAACTCTTTGCAAATATCAGGTTTTCAGTTGACTCACATTATGCTTTGCATTCTGAGCAAAGCAAGGATTTGAAATTATGAATGCATCCCTATATGTATATATTCATATACTTTTTACCTATGCTGACCTGAAACTGGGGTTCATGCTTAATGTCTGTCATGGCTCCTGCAAATGCCCCTGCCTCCTTTTGCTGTAACCGTGACATTCAAGATTTCATCAACTTCCTTGTCAGTACTAATCAGCTTTCACCAGCACAGGCAAAGCAATCTGAGATGGGAAATTGCAAATTATGTGGAGAGGGCCACACAGAGTTAGATTTCTCAGTCTAATTTAAAGGGGCTTCTCTGTTCTCTTTCTGGCTGTAGTTTTGATGCCTAGGGCCAGCCTCTTCCCCACTGTTAAGTGTCCTTTCTTATCCCATTGGATAGGACATATAGGTGTGATAGAAGCAAAATGCATTATGAAAATGCATTAAAAGAAAAGGCACATCTGCGATAGAAGTTGGTATGACAGTAATTGCACCTACTAGGTGAAAGGCATGAGCATAATTTGCATGTAAAGTTTTTCTCTGATCCTTCCAGAACATACCAGTTCTGTCCAATAAAACATTTTGTTACACTCCTGGGATTTACCAACACATTCTTAGATTGCAAGCAAAGAGATTATTTACTGTAACCTATAACAACTGCTATGACCATAAACCTCCCTTTCTTACCTGTGCTATTTTTTTTCTTTTACTAACTAGAGAGACCCTAAGGAGTTCAAATTTACTGCAATTTAATTCTGATGGGAGAAAGCACGTTACTTTTATTTATAGTACTGTCTCTATCTACCGTAGCCTCCCCCATTCCTTTAAAACATAAATAACTCCACGTTTTATTGCTACTATTTTTAAATCCAGCCATTACTCGTATGGGGACGAGCAGTTTCCTGATAGGAAGAGATATGGCAAAAGTAACCAACACATGGGGAAGTTAGGGAGTATATGCTGGAGGCTGCTGTTGGTTAAAAGAGAGCTTTACTATTGGAGCACTTGGGGGGAGGGAGCTTATCTGCATCAAAGGATGAGTGATGCCATTTGTTTTTGATAAGGGAAGGGCTGTGGCCAGGTAAGCTAGTGCACCACAGGTGACAGAAAGGGTTCCATTGTCTTTTGAAGCCCTTTAAAGCTTCCCAGAAGTTCAAATTTCTTTGTGAAATGCAGGTAGCCAATAACTGTCTCTTGAGAGAAGTGGAGAAGAATGAAAACCTCTCCCCAGGAAGCCCTCTTTCAGGTCTGATTTGCCAAGGGAGCTGTCCTGGATGCACTCCTGCTTTGCTCTGTCTGCAGGAGCTGAACAGAGGGGGTGGGGAGTGGAGGATTCAGGGCAGCACTTGCTACAAACTAATCTAATCAAGAGAACTATTTTTTTAATATAAAGGGAAAACAACATCATAATAAACGTTAAAAGTAATGTATAGAATTATAAAATGGCAAGTCTCACAGGGATTATTGCTACACAGTATATACTTGGTCCTCCACAGTGTTATTCTTTAGTCCAGGTTGGGGTTGAACAGTTTAACTAACTAGTCCTGATCTTTCTGTCCCTAGTTCATGCCACCATGTGGACCATAGCATTATCTCTTGAATTTATAGTTGCCAGTGCAACTATAAATGACTGTGCTCTGTAGTTGCTACATTATATACCGGTATATGTCTCCACTCCTTTTTATAAGTTACTCACCGAATTTCGTACAGGTGTACGATCCAGGTATTTTCATTGACAAAAGTGTACTATTTGTACAGTTTCTTGGTTGAGCTAGAGGTTGAACTCAAAGGCTAGGGGTATCAGTAGTTTATGTTTACGCTCAGATTATCCAGTCCAATTCTATCGCTGTGTATTTACACAAATAAAAATGACCAGGCCGATTTCATGGGGTTAGTTTCATAACTGACTCATCGAAATCTTAGCAAATTAAAAGTCCTTATAGCACAGTCACAGAACAGTAATAGAGTCGGAATTTAGTCTGGGCAGGTGAATTTGCGTAAATCCCGCAGTCCACTACCTGGATTGTCTATCCGTGATTCTTTCCTTCACTACCATCAGTTCGTCCATTCATTATCTGTCGATAGTTAGCTCTTAATAATTACGTGTTTTAATGATAAGATTGGCAATTTTGCGCACGTGTGTGAGCTCAGCTGCAGGAGGGTACCTTAGAAATGGCAATCCTTGCTCTTAAACCGGTGCTACCCAGACGCCAAATGCGAAGCAGGAGGCCACCCAGTGGTGACTCGCTGATGGCCGCCCATCCCGGTCCACCGGTGCCGGGCTGAGGCCGGACACACGTGGGCGAAGGCAGCTGGGGCTCTGGCAGCCTTCGGTGGTGGCGGGGCACCGAGGCGCAGAGGGTGGGTGGTGGTGCGAGCAGCGTGAGCCGCGGGACCCTGTTGGCTGCGCCGCAGCGCTCCCCGCCCCTTTCTCCTACCCTGTGTCTCCTCCCTTCTACTCTCCCTTCAGGGCTCGCACTGGAGCAGGCGCCCCCAGCCTGAGCGGTAGAGGCGCAGGCAACGCTCCTTCGGCGTCTGCAGCAGCCACAGCAGCCTGGCGCGCGGTGGCGCCGGCGGCGGGCGGGCGGGCGCCGCGGTCCGGCGGGGAACTGCGCGGAACCTTGCAGAACAGTGCGGACGGGGGCGCTGCGGCGAAGGCGGAGGCTCGTACCAGCGCGCACGGCAGCCCCCCGGGCCAGCCAGTGGCGGTGGCAGTGGCGGCGCCGGCGGGCGGGCCAGCAGGGCGGGCGCCTTGCAAGCCGGTTCTGTTAGGTAGGTCGGGGTTGTCCCCTTGTTCACTGCAGCTGTGTCATTCAGATGAACCACCTGCCTAGGAAACTTTGCCCACTGGCTTAAGGCTCCTCGACCGCGAAAGTTTGTTTGCTTGTGAGATGCAGCCGATGGGTGGAGAGTAAAATATCCTTCCAGGGGCCGGTTTGCTAGGGGACATTATTTACCCACTCTGGGACTAAGATCGATTTGGGGATGGGACGCCTTCTCTGACTGAAGCGCTGGAAAAATGTACCAATGTCCCTCTAGTATGTCTTCAGAGCAGACCGTTTGGCCCCTGAAAGTTGCGGGTGGCGCGTGGCGGGTAGCGGGTAGCGAAGGCAGGTGGGAACCCTAGGGTTGCTGAGGGAAAATCCCAGGGCATGGTGCTTGGGTTAAGAACCAGATGGTCCTGACTCCTAGATCTGAAGAAGCCAGAGTAGAGGATGTCTGTTAGTCCTCAAGTTTTGCAGACTGCGTTTTCATTCAACTCAGAAATCAACAGCTTTGAGTGAATCCCTTGTCGAGATTGTTTCATAGGTTTGTTCTGATGGACTGTAGGTAGTTCTGGTACCTTGACTTAAGAGCTGGTCGGGATCTGGATGATGTTATGTTCTCTGCATCTCTGAAAGCTCTCATCGGACTAGCAGAAGCAGAAAACCAGGAAGTGCCAACCTTGCTCCCCGGGTCAGGGTCTCAACATCTTTTAAATGGAGTGTTCCCCACTTCCCAATTCCGACTGCATGAAACATGAGGCTTAAGGGCTGCCTTGTGTAGAGCTCCGCTCCACAAGGGCTCACCAATCCCTAAGTCCTTCCCAGGATTGCGTTCTCTTACTGATTTACAAGGTGGTGTGCGCAGAGGAATGACTCAAAAACCATCGTTCAGAAAGGAATAGGAGCAGACAGCCCCGAGAAAGCAAAGGGGTAGACAGTTTCCTAACCCTAATCCAATAGATGCAGAAACAGGGTCACAGAAACAATCAACTTGTCATGTGTGCGGTACCTGAGGGTGGACAGAAACCCCGGGTCATTTAGAGAGTCAGTCAATCCCAAAATTTTTAAATGATTAAGCAAGAATAACTAAACACACACGCACAATGCAGGAGGTTATGTGCTGTGTTTTCAGTCTACCCACACAGAGATGAGTATCACACTCACTGAGGAAAAATCCTGGTCTGTAAATAGATTAAAAACGGGAATTAAAAAGAACACTGAGTCAGAACCCTTCAGAGACTGAAAGGGGGAGTAATTGCCTTTCAAAGAGCTGTTATATCTCAATAACAATTCAGACCTGTTACTTAATTTTGGGGCACTAGCTGTGTTTACCAACACTAACATGACTTTGGCTGCATCCTGGTGGGTGGTTTTAATCGTTTGTGTTGTGATTCTAGCTACTAGGAAAGAAGTCTGCAGGTTAAGATTCACATGATTTAGTTTAACATTTGTAGAATGCCTCACATTTGCTTGTCACCACGGGGCAGGTTCTTGTACATGTTCATAAAAGATATTTGACGGGATTGAACCCATGGGAAATGTAGAGATCTTTTGGTATGCACATAATCAGTGGAGTCGGGATCTCTGAATGCCTGCTTGACCTCCATTGAGAGTCCATAACATGAGGTTTGAAGGAGGTCACTGTACTCCAGCAAACTGCTGAAGACTTTTATCAGATAAATGGTGAAGTCTCTTGGAGGCTGGTGTTCCTCCTGTGTGAAGGTGGCCAGCAGGAGACATAGAGCATATAATTGATTTGCAGGGTAATAGATTCAGGCAGTGGCCATCTCTGACAATAGCACTCAGCTCCAGATCCTCCTTACCGTCTACGTACCACATCTGTGTGCCTGAAGATGTGAAGGCATTCTGTGCA